GATGCCCCGATCATGTGAGTGGCCCTCCTCTGGACCCTCTCCATGTTGTCCACTTCCCTCCTGAAGTGCGGTGCCCAGAACTAGACGCAGTACTCCAACTGCGGCCTGACCAGTGTCGCTTAGAGGGGGAGGATCACCTCCTTGGACCTGCTCGAGATGCATCTGTGGATGCACGACAAGGTGTAGTTGGCCTTCCTGACTGCGTCCCCACACTGTTGGCCCATATTCATTTTGGCATCAATAATGACTCCAAGATCCTTTTCTGCCTCTGTACTGATGAGAAGGGAGTTCCCCAGCCTGTAGGTATGCTGCTGGTTCTTCCTCCCCAGGTGAAGTACCTTGCACTTGTCAGTGCTAAAACCCATCCTGTTCTCATCTGCCCAGCCCTGTAACCCATCTAGGTCTGATTGCAGCCTATTCCTCCTTTCTAGTGTGCCCACTTCCCCCCCACACCTTAGTGTCGTATGTGAATTTGAACAGGGTGCTTTTTATCCCCTCATCGAAGTCGCTAATGAAGATGTTGAACAGTGCGGGCCCGAGGACCGAGCCTTGCAGAACCCCACTGCCCACATGCCTCCAGGTCGAATAGGATCCGTCCACCACCAGTCTCTGGGTGTAACCCTCCAGCCAGTTGGCGACCCAATTGACTGTGCAGGTGTCAACGCCACAGTCCCCTAGTTTTTTAATGAGAATGGGGTGAGAGACAGTGTCAAAGGCCTTCCTAAAGTCCAGAAAGACTGCATGCACTGCTACATGAGCCTAAGGATTTTGTGACCTGGTCACAGAAGGCCACCAGGTTGGTCTGACAGGATAAATAATATATAGAAGTATAGAGAATGGGATACAAAAGTACAGGCTTGTTATGGTGTGTAGCTTGTTATTATCATGATCATTGTTAAGTTTTGGTGTTTTGGAGGGAGGGGGTTAATGTTGTTTACCACCGCCTTTGTGAACCATTTATTAGTAAGAGGAATACAGTTCTACAGTACTTCTGGCAAAAGTGATTTCTAAGGAGAGTTTTAAAGGAAGAACAAGAGGAATGCATTCAAGATTAGGGAGGTCACTTCACTGGGAGATTTCCAGAACAACTTCTGATTGAAACTAAGCTGTTTTCAATGATATTGCTTCAAAAAGTGCATGTCATGGGTAATTCCATGGCGACCCAAGTACCTCCAAACCTGGGAGTGCTAGTCTGTCTATTGTAAGGTTGGGTATTTTCAGTATCACATCTTTGTCCACCTAATGTTACAACACTGGCATGCATTTCCAAGGCACTCATAGCAGCCAGGAACAGTGTGTGCCCCCAGTGGCTTTGGGGAGGCATGGCTGTGCCAGCAGCAGCAGGAGTGCAGCAGCAGAGGTGGGAGCCTGGCAGCAGGGAGCTCCTGCAGATGCTGCCAGCACTGTTAGCAGCGGAGGGGAGTGGGGGGGCAGGGGTGACGAGCACCAACCAGGGGTCGGTGACCATCCATAGGCACCGCCAGCAGTATTGGCAATAGCCAGGGGTGATTGTGGACTGCCCACAGACGCCACTGGCAGTGCCGGCCGCAGGGTGGTGAGCAGCGTCCACCTGCAGGCACCAACAGTGTTGGTGGTGTCTTTTTGCAGGGAGTGCACTGCCACACTCAGGGGGTGCACATGCACCTGCATGCATCCCCTACATGTTGCCCCTGATAGCAGCAACATTTATCAAATCCTTTTTAAGAGGTTTCAGAAAAGTCTTGAAAAGGAGGCAATTACAAAGAAGGTGGAGATAGCCTTTTCTCAGTGGCTATAAGGGACAGGACTAGGAGCAATAGCCTCAAACTGCAACAGAGGAAATTTAGGCTGAAGATCAGACAGAACTTTCTGAGGATATTCAAGCATTCGGACAGGCTACCTAGAGAGTTTGTGGAACCTCCATCCCTGGATATTTTCAAGAGCAGGTTAGGCAGACACTTAGCTGGGATGGTTTAGTCAGGGAAAATCCTGCATTGAGCAGGAGCTGCACCAGATGACTGTATGAGGTCCCTTCTAGTGACACTGGAGCATTGAGGAGGTGATCTAATGTCATATTTGGAAGTTCCCTCTGGAAAAGTGACACTTCTAAGACTATGACACTATATTGCAGTAGTTTGGTCTGTATTTTGTTGCATCTACAAAAGATGCACTCTGTACTCACCATTTCTAGTTTCAATGAGAGAAACGTGGCAACTGACAGACTTTCCCACTCTCAGGGAAACATGGGAGTTTCTTTCTTGTATTCTTCCACAATAAAGATAAAGCATTTTTATATGTGCACTTATATGAGGCAAAAAGGTAAGTTTCCAATAGAGGTGTGTGGCGGGTGCAGAGATTCCACCTCAGGAACACAGCTGGGTATTTGTATCCCTCCGCTGTTTCCACCACGTGAGGCGGGCCAGTAGGGGGCGCTCCTGCGTTGAGCCGCCCACCTCCCTGCGCCCGACCACCTTCCAGGCTCCGAATGCCTCCCTAGGGGCGCCTTATGTCCGGCCGACCCCTCTCCCGGAGCACACTCGCTAGTCTGGGGGTAACGTGCCGCCACCACCCCAAGAATGGACTGTCTCGCGGCCCTGTGTCCTTGGGGTAACACAGGCCTAAAGTCCCACGGGTACTCAACCCAGTACAGGCACTTGGGGTACTTCCCCAAGTCCGGGGGCAAAAAGGTATAGTCTCCCTTAGTCCACAGACCTAAGGGGTCTCTTAGGCATAATTTAGACCCACCCCTCAATAAGTCTCCCACACCAGTCAAAAAGGAGAACTTTATTGATTACAGGGGGTAGGGTAAACTAGGGTACAGGATAGAGCAATATCTAGAAATCCTAAAGAGCAAACAGTCTGGCTGTGGTAGCCTTTTGATTACGCATCTGTGATACTTCCAGCTAAATATCTAATCAGATTGAGTAGCTTACTCACAAGCATCTTCCAAAGGCAGGTGAAGTTTCCCTTTGGAGGCAGGCGGTTCCTAGCTCGTGAGTTTGGGGGGAGAGAGCCAGTTTCAGATGTTAAGGCTTCTCTGTCCCCTGCCTGGCTGCTGCGTCACCTCATGGCCGGAGAGGAGAGACCGCCTCCTTCCCCGTCCTAACTTATATAGCCCCTGTGACCTCATTCACCTGGGCCAGCGGAGGTCAGCCCCAGTTGGCTGTCAGCCAACCAATCTGAAATGCATCACCTGTTACCGGGCAGATTCCAGCTCACCAGGTAGATGCCCCTCACCCAGGTACCAGTCACGTAAGCAGAGGGAGCAGGTCTCCCCCTCCCTCAGGAATGCAGCCAGCTCCAGTTCCCTAAAGAGACAGGCTGAGGGTGTGGTCCCCTGTGTGCTGGGCCCACCCTAATTGAATGGTCACAGCACAGAAATTTAAATCACAGTGTCACAGGGTAGAGATTTCTGGGGAGAAACCAAGGTGGCTTTCTGCCACAAGGTGTACTGATAGATTGGTCCCATATCGGATCGGCACCGATATAAGGAAAATTGACTGCATCAGCAATTGGATTTTTTGGCTGATGTGGCCAATAATGAGGCCGATAAATGCCCCACGCATATGCAGCTGTAGCATGGCATGCAGGCAGCCAGGAGTGCAGCCTGGCAGCATGGAGAGCAACTGGATCTAGCTGGTAAGTCTGTTGTGAGGGAAGGGGCATGGGGAGGTAAGAGGCTGGGGGTGCAGATCAAGGCCCCTGCGATAAGGGAGGGAGTGGGGATAGGGCAGGGGCAGGCGCTGCACAGCTGGGGCAGAGCAGGGGATGGAGTTGTAAGTGCTATGTCCAAGGGGGTGGCTCTCGCCACCACGTGCACTCCCAGGCAGGCATGGGAGCATGTGCCCCCAGATCTGTGCACAGGATGAAGGATGGCTGCTGCTGTGGGCTGGGGATGGGGTGGCTCCAGGCTCTTCCTGGTGGGGACCTGGACCGGGCTGAGCTTGGGGTGGGCGGTGGCAGCGTTGGGAGTGGGGTATGGTGAATTTTGGGGTAGCTGCAGACCCCCTCCCCCATAGCCTCCTCCTAGCACCACTGCTGCCTGCCCCAAGTACAGCTCCAGGCCAACTCCCCACCAGGAAGAGCCTGCACCACCCCAGCCCCAGCCCGCAACAGCAGCCTACCTTGCCCTGCGTGCAGATCTGGGAATACATGCCCCCCCATGCCCTCCTGGGGTATGTGCAGTGGCGGGAGCTGCCCCCTCCTGTGCCCCCGAATGAGCTGCTCATAGCCCCATCCCCCACTCTGCCCCAGCTGTGTGGTACCTGGCCCTGCCTCTGCCCCACCCCCACTCCTTCCCTTACCACAAGAGCCTCGATCTGCCCTCCCCATGCCCCTTCCTTCCCCCCATCCTCTCCCCCACAACAGACTTACAAGCCGGACGTCACTCTTCATGCCGCCTGGCTGCATATTGGAATCAGTTCGGTATCAGCTGATACGGCTCGTTAAAAACTGCCCATCAGTATTGGCTCCCAAATTCTCTATTGGTTCACTGCTAGTTTCCACCCTCTCTCTCAAAACCCCACTTTTGTAGCAAATGGAGACTGACACAATACAGGGGCAAGGTACTTGGATTGGGAAATAGGGTGACAAGAACTACAGTGAGGATAGGTATGCATGATGTGACAAGGAGGTCAGCCTGTCACATTTACCTTCACTGATTAAACTATATCTGCATTTGATCCACTGTATAGTTATTATCAATTTGCCTGTTTTTTTTTCCAGCCAGAATAAGGAAAACAGACTGTGAGGAGTTGAGAGTAAAAAAAAAAAAAAAAAAATCAGTCTTAAAGAGTAAAAGAAAAAAATTGTGGTTTTATAATGGTAGGGGGTGCAGGAAACCTATCGCAACAAAAAATAGTGGATAAGTGCCCTGGATGTACGAGTTGGGTATTGAATTTTAATGGATATGCCTGGATATTGAATTTTAAATTCAATATGGTATTGAATTTTAATGGGAAGATAAGCTACAGAAAACCTGAGAATTAAAAACAGGAAAAGAGATTAAATCCTTCCTTTACCTTTTCTTCAGTTACAGCATTGCAGCTACAGGCCTTCAGCAGCAGGTCCCTCCTCTCTTCTTCTCTCAGACTTGTAGAAATAGAGTTACTTCTATGAGCTGGCAGTTTGTTATGAACTAGCTCCACTGGTTCAAGCTCCACATCTCTCCAAGCCTAAAAACAAGTTGAAAATGACTCAGGAGGTGACATTCTTTCCAGTCATTTTATTTTTACTTTTTCCTACCTACAGGTTAGTAAGAGGCAGTCCCCTCATATAAGGAGGCAGTCACAAGGCTGCCATAGAGCCATGGAGTAGCACTCATGGCTTAATGTTCAGGTGGAGAAGAATTTTCTCGACCAAGATCATGTGTGAATATTTTCAGCAGCAAGCCCAGTGCTTCAGGCTGTGCATTAAAGAGGGATTTGATTCCTTCAGGGCAACCCTGCTTCACTGCCATACAGTGTGCAATCAAATCCTAAAATAAATGTGTTCCTTATATATTCCTTATATTTTGTATCTCTAGAGTTGGAACCATAAGCAAATAAAGCCTTATTTTCCTAGAAATAATTAGTAAGGGGTATAAATAATCAATGAAAGAAAAGTGAGGCACTTATGTGTCCATTGTAGCACCAATGCAGGGTATGATTTTGCTTTCACTTATACCAGCTTATAAGTGAGAGCAAAGAGAGAGAGAGAGAGAGAGAGAGAGTTTAGAATACAAACAGGTTCTTTTTCTAAGACCACAAATTGAGCAATCATCAAAAAAGCTCAGCCCCTCTGCTCCTGACTTTCAAACAAACCTCTAATCTTGCCCAGTTAGTCACCAGAAGCAAATTCTCCCCTGCCCAACAGACATCAAGTGGAACACAGCCATGACTTAGCAAGAAATGCTGAACCCGTCAATACATCTCTACTGCCACTGCTAACACCATACTGAAACCATCATGAATGAAACCATGGTTCCTACACCTGCCTTTCCCAAATAGTGATATATCTGATTCAATACACCGAATGCTCTCATGGCAACAATGTAGCTCAAGCTAAAGAGCAACTGTGCACCAGAATGAATTCTCACATTAAGAATATAAAGGACAGATGCATACAACACTAGGAGCACACTTCTCACAGAACAACCACTCCCTTTCTGACCTCTCTCTCCTGATGTCTGGGGCAATTTACTTAACACCTTTAAAAACGAGAACCTGAGAACAAAGCACCTCCCCACTGCTGCTTACACTGGCTCTGATCAGGACAGTCCCCAGCCAGCCCTGGGCTTTGCAGGGAAGTCTGCATGTGCAGCCAGAAGCTGGCTGGGGACTTCCCAGAACAAAACAGTCTCTAGCCACCTCCAGGCTGCAAGTGCTTCCCTACACAGTCTGGGGCTGGCTGGGAAGTCTCAGTCAGGGGCAGGTCCCAGCCAGCTCCAGGCTGGGTGGGGAACTGTCTCCAGGGAGGAAGCTCTGAGCCCTGCTCTGTGATTGTAGAGCCAGCACTGGGAGATGAGGGTCTCCCAGCCTGAGCCCCGTAACCACAGAGCTCAGGCTGGGAGATAAGGGTTTCTGAGCCCGACCCTCACAACTGCAGAACTCAGGCAACCATGAAGCTCAGGCTGGGAGATAAGGGTTTCCTTGGCCCCTACTCCCCAATAGCAATGGCGGAGCAGGGACTGGAAGATATGGATCTCCCAGCCCCCACTCCCAATCTCGGAGCAGGGGGCTTGGAGCTCCCTGCTGCTGAAGGAGGGGGACAGTCCCTGCCTGGGCTCCTGTGGCAGAGCCTGTCTATACAAGCGCTACGACACCATTAATATTCCCAAGTAAATTTGGGAGGTTTACTGTGAAGTAAGCATGTACACATGTAGACACACGTTTACTTCACAGTAAACTATGCTAATGCAAAGTTAAGCATCTTGTGTTAACTATACTAATGCAAAGTTAAGCATGCAGCTTCTGATAACTAGTAATGAACAGTTTGATTTTCCTGTTAATTATTGCTTGGGATTCGGTCTTGATTTACACAACTATAAGAATGCTTTGCAGATGCTGAGCTAAAGGCAATAAAATAGGAATGAAACAGCTAACAGCGTGCTTCAAGAATGAGAAATCATTCCGACAAGAACTGCTACTGTGCCCAGCTGATCTTCTAGTGAATGGATCCATGCGCTGAGAAGCCGACAAGACTGAGACCGCCTTTTTGCCTGTACTGGTGAGATACTAATCACTTCTGCAGCTTAATATACTGGACTTTGCTTTGCTTTAGGCTCATTTAAGAGTGAATACTTGTAGTAAATAAAGCCTTTTTCTGTCATTCATCAAATGAATGGTCATGTCAATCCTTTATACACTAGTCCCAAATCCCAATCTTTGATTTAATGGTTAAGAGCTCCAGAAGCTACCTACAATTACTACTTAGCAAGGCCCTTAGCTATGAAGTTCCACAGTAGCATAACCAGGGATGAACAAGCAGGGCACCAGGCCTGGGCACTGATTTAGAGGGGGCACCAGAATGGCAACCCCTGGGGAGCGTGTCATAGCATCACCTGCTCATTGCTGCTGCAGCAGCCTGTGCATGGGGATATCAGATTCTTCAGTGCTCAACATCTACCCCACTCGTGGCACCAAAATTCTTAGTTATAACTCTGTAGTTCCAAAACTTCACCAAGCATTGCGGTCATGCAACATGTACGAGCCTCTGAACTTAGCATTTATTTCACCTGCTGCTGATTTAGCCAGAAGCTACACAGCTGCACTGAATTGACATTTTAGAAACTATGCTTCCTCTTAGTCCTCAAAAAGACTGCCTCTGGCAGTGTCAGTTCAACAAAGCATTAAATTACCACACCAGCAGCAGCCGCCACCGCTGTAGCAGCAGCTGTTTTGTTTTGAGAACTGTAAACAAAGATTATATCAAAAAGGTAGAAACTTTTAAACAAAAACATGCCTTAAAAGGAGGATGGCTTACAAAACAAAGACAAACGCAACCACAATTCTAAACGATGGAGGAGAAAAGTAATGGCGACTAACAGAACAAAAAGACATGTCTCAGCTCAGGAAATGGGCTTTTGGAGAAGAACAGAGACTCTGATTTAGCATCCACTGGTCCACAAGAGACTTGCTGGGAAGGAAACTGGGAAGAAACTGTGGTTCATGAAAGCTTATGCATCTCCAATTCAGTTAATTTATAATGTACACCTCTGCCTTGCCTTCTGCCTGACTTCAGACTAACATGGTTACTTACCTCTACCTGGGAAGAAAAGGAATCAAAAGTGAATGCAGAAACCCCCACAAAAAGAAATATAGGAGAGAAGAAAAGATTAGAGATATGTGAGCAAATTAGGATCCTCTCCTTTTTATATCTCTTCCTGATGTTTTATCCCTTTACAATTAATTTCCACTGTTACCTCCCTGTAAACACTACCTCTAAGCCTCACATGATCAAGGCTTAATCATGTGAGGGGTCCCAGTTAAGTCAATGGAGTTAGATGCTGTGACAGGAGTGCCTCTACTGGAGTCCATCTATCAGTGACTCTGCCCTCCTGTTATGGGCCAACCACCTGCCTTCTTTCCTGCCACGCCTTGATCTTGATTAATTAATGAATGTTAATAAGCGGGAGGCTGCCCATTTATTTGCCCCGGTGCCAGGGGGTGCTATCTGCGGCTCCTTTTTCCTCCCCTACACTGCAGCCCAAGCCTTGCAGATGATACTGACATGGCTTGATCTGGGCCTTGTTGTAATTTGGCCCTCCCCTTTTCTTCCCTGGGCTTTCTACAGTCCTGTCTCACTCTGTCTCATTCCGTGTCTTCCTGGTGCTCCACTGCCCCCTCACTCTGGGGCTTCTTGCTGCCCTCCTTGCTCCGGGGCTGAGGTCAGTGCACCCCACAAAATGCTGTGCCCACATTGGCACCGGGATCCCCACACCACTGGGGTTCCCCTGTGAGGCCTCCTCCAATCCCTAGTAGCCTCATCCAAAGCACCGGTGTAAACAATAAACAGAAAATTCAAGCCCCTGGGCTATAACATAAAATCTCTAAACATCATTCAATCCCTACCAGGGAATTCTCCACCCTGTAACAGCAAACAGGAGCTGCTTGTGCAGTCAGGCTTTTCCCCTCTGCTTGCTTCGGAAGAGCTCCTTCTCCCTTGGCTACTAGTGGGGAACTGCCCTCCTGGCCTCAGCCCTGGGGTTTATATGTGCCAGGCCCTGCCCCTTCCGGTCAGCTGACTCCCGGCGGTTGCCCCAGCAACCTGCACCTGTGCCTCTGCTCTGAGAGTAGCAGGCACCTTAATGTCCTGCTACAGATGCATATGTTCAAGTGCTTGGCTGGACAAAGGTCTTAAACAATCACATGGAAAATGTACCTCTCTTTGGTGTCTGAATGTTGATATGCTCTATATAAAAGTTTAGGTTTAAGCAAATTATTTTAATACATTTATAACAATTTTAATGCAATTACAGATACAGTATCATCCACTCATGAATAAAGCCCTCATGTGTCACCCCTATTATCAGAACCCAGTAGCAGTGAATGGAAATTAAATCACACAGCTTGAAATTTCTATATTTAATTCACATTGCAACAACATTATTTGCTCATTCTTTCATGGCCATAGCATTCACAATCAACATAAAAATGAGTCATTCATAGGGATGGTTCAACCCCTTGCTCAAGGCAGGATCAACCCCGACTAAACTATCCCAGCCAAGCATCTGACTGACTTGTACCACATAATATTTTTGTTTTTCCAAAGGCTTCACAAATAGTTGGATTAGAGTTGGGCAGGAAATGATTTGCCCATCCTAAAAAACTGATTTCAAAAAATTTCATTTTCCACATTGGGACAAACCCAAGGTCTTTTACCTTTTTTATTAAAAAAAAAAGGGAAGTGGAGGAGAGAGAAGTAGATGATACACTCATGCAACCCAAAATAACTAATAGCTTAGTGGTTAGAGCTGGACTGTGAATGAATAAGGTTCAAGACTAGACATCAGGAGGCACTACTTCACTGTCAGGGCAGCTAGGATCCGGAACCAACTTCCAAGCGAAGTGGTGCTGGCTCCTACCCTGGGGGTCTTTAAGACAAGGCTAGACAATCACCTTGCTGAGGTCATTTGACCCCAGTACTCTTTCCTGCCATGGCAGGGGGTTGGACTTAATCATCTGCTCAGGTCCCTTCTGACCCTACTAACTATGAAACTATAAGACTCCATTATATCTAATTCATGCTAGGAATATGAACCTAAGTCTCCTATATCCCAAATAAATGCTGTAATGATTAGTTTATGCAGAAGTGGGTGAAGGTTTTTCTCTCTCCCACAGACATTCACAAGCTTTCAGAAATTTCATGCTTGTTTAATTTGGTACATACCTTCCCCCAAACATTTCAGCTTGGATAAACTGATATTTTGACAGGCAACTATTTTCCTGGAAAACTCCTGTCCTGATCTACCTCTATGTATGTTTTTACAGTATTGGGTAACTGGACACTTGACAGGTTTTATACCTGCCTTCCTTCACAAAACCAAGAAAAGACTTACTAATTCTCCAGCAGATATTGATGAAAGACAACTAGCCTTCTTCTTGGAAGAAAAGGATTGATGACTGGATAGAGAGGTCCTGAATGAGGATTCATTTATGGAACCTGACAGAAGATCACTCTTTGATATCCTTATTAGAAATCGTAAGCATGGAACAGCACTGCGAATAGTATTCCTGAAAGAGAACAGAGAAGTAAAAATGTTAATCTGCTCAACACCATAAATGCCAACGGCAATTTTTGGAAAATGGTCTGACAAAACCCCTCTCTCTTGTTGCAAATTTCAGTACAGTTCTGACTTTATAAAATGTTGAAGATTATATAGAAGCAGTTTACAATAGCAACTGCTGACTATTCAATAGGCCAAATACATAGACATCAGCTGCCCTGAGATTTTTAAATGACAAGACTATGCTGGGAAGCCTGGATGAACAGTGAGAATTGAGAACACAATGTATTTTTTTGGAATATAACAATTTAAAACAAGGATTCGCTTGACTAAAAACAGGAGATCAACATAAAATCACAGTTCCATACTTGGCTAAATTATCTCCTGCTCAGAGATCTGCCCTAGACATAGGACTATAACAGTTATAACTTCTTTATTCTTTGGGTCAATCTGCATCAGCCTTGCCATAGCATAAATTAGAGCAACCAACAGGGTTCTTCTAATCTATATCTTCACATGACCATACACCAGCTGAGCATTTGTAGACCACCTTCACACTCTGCTCCTCCCAGCATATTTCCACAATGGTAGAAATAGTTGGCACAGGGCTTAAGTATCTTAGCTTTACATAATTCTTATTTGGTTAGCTATGAGCACAGTCTGGATTTTTTGGTCTATGTAAGAGATTTGAAACAGTTGGTTCAAGGACAGAGAATCTGGCCCACTGTCTTGGTGCTTGGTGTAATAAATCTACAATCCCATATCATTCCTGATTAATTCTACGAATTGGAAAAACAGCAGCAAATACTGGAACCAAAATACACAAGCTACAAGCAAGTCAGAGCAAGTTACATCTAAAATATGTGAAACAATTGCAAATTACATGATACAAAAGGAAGCCAAGACATATATTAACCACAAGAGGCAGCATGGTAGAACTGGATGACTTGCAACAGAAATTAAAAGCTTGAATATGAATTTAAACTTCTAAACTCATTCGTTTTATGTTTATTATTTCAAACATAAAATGGAAGCAACAGGCTTTCCTCAATGAACAATCTTACAAACAGGAAAATATGAAAAAAATAAAATTTTAGCAAATGCTCCACTACACAGTGAAATAAAATGTTACATTAGGAAAAAGTGTGTATTGTCCTCAAAAACTTGATCCTGGATGCATCTACACATGCAATTAATGCAAAACAATAAAGTCTGGTGCTTATTGTGCCAGAGTTTATTGCTCCCAGGTGCTGCATCCTCATGTGCCTCTGGGACCACAGGCAATTGAGATGGGTCAAAGCAGCCTCAGCTGCCAGCCCAGCTGACTGGGGGCCTTGGGGATCAGCCTGCTAACCGGGGCTGCTCCAAGCTGACTCAATGTGCTGTGGAGGGGCTGGCTGGGGTATGTTTCTCCTTGTACTGAAGTTTACCCTTTGCAGTAAACGTCTTGTGTAGATGTGCCACCCCCTGGGCATGTCTACACGTAAATATTAACATCTTAACATGCTGCTTACACATATGCCTGGGATCACAGCATGTTGAGCTGCAAACACATCTTAACATGCTGCTTACACATATGCCTGGGATCACAGCATGTTGAGCTGGATCAGAGCAGTTCTGGCTGGCAGGGGGCACAGGTGGTCAGCCTGCCAGCCTGGGGTTTTTCCCTCTGGCTCAACATGCTGCGAAGGGGTGGCTGGGGCATGAGGGTGCTTCAGCATGGGGTTAGCTGGCAGGAAGCCCTGACACTGAAGTATCCTTGTGCCCCAGACAGCATGTATACGTGCGCTGCTGCAGAGTAAAAGTCTGTGGCAGGATAGTATTTGTATTTACAAGTACTATCCTTCTGTGGAATTAATTACTTTACTCCAGCCAAATAGGGGTGCACATGAGACATGTGGTATTTACTGCATAGCTAATTAGTCAACTGTTCAGTAAGCATCTTATGTAGACAGGCCCCCTGAGAACTATTCTGCTCCAAACAAGGAAGAAAAAATTCTTCTAGGATCTCTAAGTCTAATAGGGACTGCAGCCTATTCAGTATTCTGAAAAGATGCAGAATTTTGCATCTCCACCATCTATAAGCCTGCTGGGGCAATAGAATGGACAGCCTTATAGCTATAGGATATTTGAATTCCAGAATGAGTGCCAGCTGACTGGGTCTTAGGTTCAGATCTTGAAGTGAGTTCTATAATTGCAGCTGTGATGACCTCACCAATATTGAGTAGACACCGATATCTGCCCACAGAATTATATGTCTTGGTCTAACTCCTTGCTTAGGGCATGATCACGTTTGTCTAAATAATGCCAGTTAAAAAACTGTCTATAGATGCAGAACAGACACTGTGGCTAGGGATAGAAATTACACATAAACTGGTATAAGTGACTGGAAACCACTTGGTGTTGGGCAGAAATTTGTAACATAACAGAAGTTCAGTGCACATAAACCACTTCCAAAATGGCTGAAACCAGTTTAAGATAAACCTGGATGAATATAGTATCAGGCTTAACTGATTTAGGTTAAATCGGTTTACTGAACTTGTGTCCTAGATCCCCTCCAGATTCAAGTTAACTCATAGTCCCCCAGCATCCCAGCATGCTTTGCAACTCCCCCGCAGCCCTCCCCCACACAGAGTGGGTGGGCTAGCCTTGCCCCAAGCTGTCTGCTCCAGCTAAGCAGGAAAGCATGTTTTAGCACCCCCCAGCTTCTGACCTGGGTTACTGCAGGCATGTGGCTGCATTTCTGGAATCAAAATTGAATACCTGTTCATTTGTTTATCAGTTCAATCTACACACCTTAGATTAACCTACAAAGATTGAATTGATTCAACCTTGGGCTTTTTTGACTGCCTATAAGTTTGGCACTATGAAGACATGGTTGACTAGCTGGAGAAAATAGCTGCAAGAGTTTAGTGTAAACCAGATGCAGGGACCTCTAAGCTCTTGCTGGATGCTGGTTTCCCAGGTTCTAAATTCCTCATTCTCCCCAGGTTCATAATTACTGATATATAATCATTAAAGACTGTACCTACATGTGGATTGGGTATATATTAATGAAAGGGATTGGTCATGAAGACTTCCCTTTCTCTACCCCCAGCTAAGTGCAGAATTTATAATAAGATATTTAATCCAGGTGCCCAAAGGTGATGAGGTTATCAGTTTTTGCCTTCATATTAATTGTTTAACAATTGTTGAACTATGATGGTCTTTAGAAGTTATCAGTTTGGTTTTGACTCTTGACACAGATTGCCATTCCTTATGGTAATGGAGTTAAATTATTTTATGTTACTGTGATCAAGCACTTAGTATTCTCCTGTTTAACTCAGCAAAAAGATGGGATCTGGCTTTGCAAGTACATCTTTACACAAGGTTAACTCAGAATTTCTATAATTTTAGTTAAAAATTTATAGCGACAGCACCAATAAAGTTGGGAAGATATACATAGGACATACACTTATGCAAAGACTTCTAATGCAGGACTCAGCAACATATGGCCCACAGGCTGGATCTAACCCACAGAGGTCAAAGGCTTTACCTGTGTCTGCACCTGCACTGAGGTTAATCAGTGAGGAGCTGTTCCAGGGCTGAGCAACTTCTAGTTGCACCTTTGCTGCGGATTCCTCCTATCCCCTAGCCTGCTCCCAGATACAGTATGGGGAGCTGTCCTGAGGCTGGGCAGCTGGAAGCTGCATCCACATTGCTGTCACTTCTTCTCCCCACATCCATCTCCCCCACATCTCCACACTGTGGTGCAGAAATGACAGTAGCATAGATACAACTTCCAGCTGCTTGGTTCTGGCAAAACTCCCCACTGGTAGGAAGCTGCAACCATGTCCCAGACAAGAAGCAAGGTTTTGGGAGAAGCAGCAATAGCAGCATGGTTGCAGTTCTCAGCTACCTGGCCCTGGTATGGGTGTAGGGTAAGCCCATTGCCTCTGACAGGACATGAAAGCCACCCAACCTACATTTGATCAGAGCCTAATTGTTCCAGTCTGTAGCTAGGAAAAGGTTGCTATTCGCTGCTTTGATATATTCCTTACAAACAACTCATATTATGCAAGTTAGTATTCACTCAGAATTTTTGCCTTTCTAGCAGATGTCTAAAACTGAAAGGTACAAGGACTAAACACCTAAAGGCACAGACAGAAGTGACAATTTTTGCTCAATTGGGCCCCTGAAAGCGCTCTACAGCAGTGACCAAACAGAATTGTACAGTTGCAAAATGCTTTAAAAGGGCCAAATTCCGCAAAAGTCTAAACCTTAAGTGTGTGAGGGTTCAGATGAATACATTTCAAAACACAGAGTCTTCATTAACTTGTGTCTGCCTTCCTCCCAGCATCAGAGCTGTTTTCAGAAAAGCCAGAAAGGGAACAGAGGGAGTCTGGTCTGGGGGTTTTTCAGCCAGCAGTGGAGGGTGGGGCAGGTGGATTGGAGTATTTCCACAAGGTGGGGGCTCCAAATTATGTGCCCCACCCTTCAGCACTGGCTTGGGAACCTCTAAAATGAGCTCCCTCTTCTGCCTTTCCCCCCTCCATTTCTGAAAACAGCACTCGGGCTGGCAGGAGGAGGTGCTGTTGCTAGGGAAACTGGCCAAGGCTCGCAGCCAGCAGCTAGATTCCCCAACCCCCCTTGTCCCTGGACCCAACAGTGAACTTCTGTTTGGTCCGGGGGATCGTTGCAACTCAGAACACTTCCTGCAAAGCATTCTGAGTTACAGCGGAGAACTGTTCTTCTGTCTGTGCCTTAAGAAAGCAAAGAACACAGGATCTACAGCAGAGGCGGGCAAAGTCCAGCTTGCAGGCTGGATCTGGCCAGAAGTGGACTCCATTTCCCAGCAGCCCCTGCCCACATGGCTGGGGCCAGTCTCCATGGACACCCCAGCTGCTGTGTTGTGATAGCACAAGGCTGGGGTTGTCATGGAGACCGGCCATGTTTGCAGGGTGTGTGGCACCAAGGTCAGGGGGCTGCTCCAGAGCCACTGGGACCTTGGGGTGGGGGCTGCTTGGT